AACACCAACACCACCAGCACCACCAACCCCACCAACACCACAACCACCACTAACCCCAACCACATCGCCGAAGCCTTTCAGTCGCTTTTAGCAGACTCCCCTTCATATTTTTGGAATGAAAATGGCCGCGTCGCTTTTACCAGACTCTATTTTATATATTTTTCCCTCCCCTCTCCCCTTTATTTTTTCTTCGGTTCCTTTCTTGCTTACCTACCTTTCGTGTTCCCCCTCTCAAATTTTTATTTTGATAATTTCTTATCTTTATTTAATAATTTCTTATCTTTATTTAGGAATAATTTTGAAGCGTATGTACGTAGATATTTATACTTGGCGATCTTTATTTGCGTGCGTTAGGGCGGACTTGTGCATTTTGCTTTTGCCCGTCTGTCTGGTCCCCCTTCGTATTACTTGGGCGGTTTCTTCAACCAGCAGGTCTTTTGAAAAGAAAATGGGTTTTGATATATTTTGGTCATTTATAATTGTTGACTTCAAAATTTATGTAGCCGGGGTACGAAATTTTAGTTTATCATTATAACATACTACCACGATCCACCACCCGTTCGGCCTTTTGTATGACCAGTCGGTCACCCGGGGGCACTTTTGGAGAAAAAACATATCATTTGGGCATCGTTTTGGGTATCGTTTTGCGCGGGCTCCATCTTTGTAAATTATATGTATATGAAATTGAATAAATAGTTCGTCGTCGATATATCAAAGCTAGATCAGGCAGCAAAATGAGATATTGCATGGAATTGGCCATTCCTACATTGCCTGCGAATAAATGCATGGTTTCCGTAATCTGAGTTATTCGGTGACGAGTTTAAGCAACCCACCTCGGTGGCAAAAATAATGGAAAATCATATAAAATCAACCCACCGCATGGGCACATCCATTCATGACAATTTAAATCCAATCGTGAAAAAAATAATCCTGCCCAAACAAACACTATGCCCGCACCACAAAACGCGCAAATATATATAATCAAAAAATATATTATTTTTTTGTGAGTTCCCTATTATTTTGGCAGAATTTATATAATAACCAAAATCCGATATATTTCCCAATATATATTTAATTAATATAAATTTAAATATAATTTAATAAAATATTTAAAAAAATATTAAATAATAAAATCAATATAATTATATATTTTTTAATTATATTTTCGATTAAAATTTAAATCAAATAATAATTAATATATAAAATATAAAAATTATAATATAAAATATAAAATAAATATTATATTTTTATTTTCTAAATTATATATATA